TTCTTAGGTGCAGATGAGTTGAAGCGAGTGTTCACTGTATGCGTGTTTTCCATGTTGTCAGAGGTTTTCGCTTAAATATCTTTTTCAGTTTGTTCCCGTCGCAAGTTTTGCATCATCTATCATTTCGTCGAAGGACCACCCCACCCTCGTCATTGGTGCTCTACAGCTAGTCGAGATGCTCTTGGATAAAGTTCCCGTGGAGTACAAACCTGCCTTCCGCCGCGAAGGTGTCTTCCATGAGATCGAGACGCTAGCTGCTCGACCCCTGGTCGCGTCGAAGGCGAAGGACGGCGACAAGGAGAAAGATCCAAATGCACCAGAGACACCTGCAGAGTCAGCTACGCCGACTTACATGCCAATTTCTTCCGCACTGGCCGCTACAATGCCCGGTTATAGGAAACTGACCTCTTTGTCTATCGACCCTGAAGACGCCATCACTATGCGTTCACGCGTAATTAAATTCAAGTATTTAAGTAGCGATGATAGTGGTTCTTCAGACGATGTTTTTGCAACCCTCAGCCGTTTGGTAGCCCGTATCTCAAGTCAAGAAACCTCCGAGCAAGATGTCCTTCCCGCCCTTGCGGAACTGGCGGGTCTTTTTGCATCTTCGGACACGTCTGTATCAAGCTTCGAGTTACTCCAAAGTGGTGTTGTGGATGGTTTATTACAATTCCTTACGGACGAAGAGCGTAACAGTAAGTACACTTTTTACTTTGTTACTTCTGATCCTCTAATTGTGCTTTATCGTTAGCCCCTATTACACGCAGACAAGAATTGTTCTTCGAGGCCTTCAACGCACGAAGAATCATGACCGCACAAGGGGGCCAGAGTCCTTTCGGTGTCTTTGTCAAGAAACTCCAGGAAAGTCTCACTCGCATGGAGAGCCTTGATGTCGTGACTGTGTCGCAGAGCTCTGACGGTATGTAACATTTAATATCCTCGAGACCAGTGCTTATTTTGATTCCGGTCAGATTCCAAACGGAGTTCCCCTTCATTGCTCGCACGTCAACTGCGATTACGTCTAGTCGCAGCTGAAGACTCCGACATTCCTCGCAACCTCAGCAACATCATTGTTTCCATTCATGCCATCGCTACTTTCCAAGCACTCCATGATTACCTCAGACCCAGAGTAGCAGGCATCATGTCCGGTGCATCAAGACTATCGAGCATGCTTGCCGCCTTCCAAAGCCTGTCACGAAATGCTGCATCATCAAGCAGCACTGAGCCTCCGCCACCGCCGAAACCTGCCGACCCGCCAACTCAGGCTGGTTCGTCCAAAACGGAACTTGGTCGTCGAAGGAGTTTGCGTCTGAGCGCGAAAGCGTCTAATAGCAATGATGCTGATGATACAACAGCCGATGCTGGTCTAGGAACAGATGTTCCTGCACCCGAGAACGTCGAGGTGTCTGGCAGTGCTGAACCAACACCAAGCGAGACTGTTGTGAACGATGAAGACCCTGAGTACGAAGCAGACTTTACTGATGAAGAGGTTGATGTTGATGCTGAGGTACGTTCGGACACATTGACTCTCAGGATAGACGATTAACTATCATTAGGTGATTGATGATGATGGTGACGAAAACCAGAACAACGACAAAACCGTCACTGTCTCCATAGGCGAAGGTATGTTTTGATTACCTGAATTCTTACGTTTGACGTTGATCTTACCTCGGATTTAGACGGATCCAAAGTTGTAGCCCAAACTCCTGAAGGCACCCGTGTTGCTACACCGAACCCTGCCAAAGGTAGCCCATCTGCTGCCGCAGCAAGATTAGTGCAAAAGTCATCTTATGCCGCGGCGCTGAAGACGAAACCTAATGACTGGCATCTTGAGTTCTATGTCGATGATCAGAAACTCCCATTGGAGCTTACTATCTATGGCGCTATTCACCAGCACGAGGCACGCAAGAAGAAGGCAGGAAATGTTACACCTCCAAGTATGATTTGGCAGAATGTGTATACCGTGAAGTTCAAGAAGGTCCTTGGTCCCGCTAAATCCCCCGAACGTGAGTCTCAACGTTGTTAAAGTGATTGATAAATATATAACATATCGTACAGCACGTTCAGACGACCTTACCGTACGAAGTCGTTCACCACAACCTACCATCTCACTACTTGCCGATGATGCTCCTACGTCGAAGATTTTGCGACTGCTTCGAGTTTTACACAAACTGAACGCCACAGAGAATGAACGTCCAGTGGCCCCATCAAGCAAGCGAGCACTGGCAGAGTCAGCATTTGTTAACAACAAACTAACAGCGAAATTGACAAGACAGCTCGAGGAACCGATGATCGTTGCCAGGTATGGCTCTATTCTAACACTCGAAATGTTGTGCCGTTACTAATGTACTATACGTCTTAGTTCTTGCCTACCGGATTGGGCGTTGGACCTCCCACAACATTTTGCCTTCCTTTTCCCATTCGCTACCCGTTACAACTTCTTGCAGTCCACTTCATTCGGATACGCTCGTCTCATACTCAAGTGGCAGAGTCAGCAAACTCGGGGACAAGACAGTTCCAGACGTGACGATGGCGTCGGTTTCCTTGGCCGTCTCCAGCGACAGAAGGTTCGTATCTCCCGAGAGCACATCCTGGAATCGGCTGTGAAGGTCTTCGAGTTGTACGGTTCGTCGTCGTCAATCTTGGAAGTGGAGTACTTTGAGGAAGTCGGAACTGGTCTTGGGCCGACACTCGAATTCTATTCTTTGGTATCAAGAGAGTTCGCTCGCCGTGACCTCAAGATTTGGAGAGACTCAGATCCCTCCCTGACTGGTCAATATGTTCACCACCCACACGGCTTGTTCCCAGCCCCAATTAGCCCAACCGACATTGCTAATGACAACGGACAGTAAGTGATGCTACTTTGACGTGATTAATCATATCATTCTAATCAAGCCCTTCTCTTAGGAAACGAACACATGTTTTCCGTATAATTGGACAGTTTGTTGCCAAGGCTATGCTTGATTCTCGCATTATAGACCTCTCGTTCAACAAAGTCTTCGTCAAACTTGCACTTGGCGAAGATGTCGCGTTGACATTAGACAACCTAAAGGTAAGAGAAGTCACACTGATATCGATACGAATTCTTACGAGTTTTGACTAGCGTGTTGACCCTGACTTGGCCGCGTCGCTACTCAAACTTCGCAACATAGCTTCCACGAAGGGTTCGAACGACAAGGTATGACATCAACCACAGACTCTGGAAATTTTTTTGCTGACAATCTACAGATCCGCCGCAAGCTCGGCATGATGGACATCGAGGATCTCGCGTTGGACTTCACTATTCCCGGATATGATATCGAGCTTAAGCCAGGTGGACGAGACATTTCTGTTACCACAGAAAACGTGGAGGAATACATCGAAGAGATCATCGACGCTATCATCGGCCGTGGCGCCAAGCTCCAAGCAAAGGCTTTCAGCGAAGGATTCTCGAAAGTCTTCCCAATCGCTGATCTCCGAGCATTCACACCAGATGAGTTGGTCATGCTCTTCGGAAATGCCGAGGAAGATTGGAGTCTCGAAAGTAAGTAGCAGCCGTTCGCCCCTCTCATCCTGTTATGGTGACTGACCATGACTTCGCAGCATTGAGCGAAGCTCTCAAGGCTGATCATGGCTTCAATGTCGAGAGTCGCGCAATCCGAGATTTGCTAGAGGTCATGTCTGAGTACGACCCCACAACCCGGCGCAGCTATCTCCAATTCATCACTGGAAGCCCTAAGCTCCCCATAGGAGGTGCGTCTTCAGTCGTGTATCGCTTGCACTATTACTCACATAACCTTTTTCAGGTTTCCGTGGTCTCAATCCACCTTTGACCGTTGTGAGGAAGCCTCATGAAGCGCCTTTGACTGCCGACGATTATCTTCCGAGTGTGATGACGTGTGTGAACTATCTAAAGCTGCCAGAGTATTCATCGAAAGCAGTAATGAGGGAGAAGTTGCGGATTGCTATGAATGAGGGTGTCGGAAGTTTCCATTTGTCATAGTTTTCGACTCACATTATCTTGTGCTATTAGTATCATTGTTCTATTAGACTTTGCATCGTTTTACTCGCCTAATAAATACATATTATTCAACCAACTTCATACTTGCTTCGTGAATATTGACTGGGAGTTCAATCGTTCAAGCAAGGGAGCGCTGACTCAGCAGAATCTGAAGTTGTGCGCTTACGACTCAAGCATTCTACAGCCACCTCTATAATCAACCACCATGTCTAAACATCATCCGGGTATGTGCTGCCTCAACGTTGATCATTTACGAACTAAATAATGTCCCCTCATAGATCTCATTATGTGCAGACGCCAGCCTGGCATAGGTGAGCACACTGCTCCGCAATAGAAATAAAGATACTAATAATGACCTCTGGACTCTCCAGCCATTGGCAGGTTATGTGAGAAGTGCGATGGAAAATGGTACGTCTACGACTTGGATACGGAACAGGTATGGCTAACAATTGAAGTGCACAGTCCCGTGTGTGATTCCTATGTGCGACCGGAAACTCTCGTGCGTATTTGTGATGAGTGCAACTTTGGTACTTACGGTGGAAGATGCATTATTTGTGGCTCACCCGGTAAGCAAATACGATGTGCATACTCACGCAACGTTGACTTATATCGCAACTAGGTATCTCCGATGCCTACTACTGTGCGGAGTGTACCAGGCTGGAGAAAGATAGAGATGGCTGCCCGAAGATCGTGAACCTGGGTGCAAGTAGAACAGACCTGTTTTATGAACGCCGTCGTTTAGGTAAATTGTGTTTATGGCTTGTATTCTTTCTTTAACTCACAATATATCATAGGCTTCAAGAAGGGCTAGCATCGCTTCTTTATTCATCTTGTAATATACACCGTACTGTCTCATCTATGTTTCTTTGTGCTATAGTAAAAAAGCAATACTTCCTTCAAACTACGGGATGTGGACATCAGCATGGTTTTCTTTTTCCTAGTTGTAATTGTTAGCAAGATTAGAATTCGAGAGACATCCAAAAATACGGCAACACGTTTAGGGCCTGGCCGGGAATTGAACCCGGGACCTCCTCCAAACGATCAATAACCCTAAGAAGGAATCATACTACTAGACCACCAGGCCATAAGAAGATCGGCGCCGATAGTGCTCAGACCCATAGTAAAGTAGACACGCATGCGCGACGCGTCATTCACTGAAGTCACCAAGTCGCGTTTGGTCTTACATTCGCTCTACCCTTTCTCTTTCTTTCCACCTCCTTCAACATGTCAGCATCATCATCATCGACGCCAATGGACTCGAGACGCAAGGATGCTCTCAAAGCGTACCGCGAAAAAATGCGGCAACATGAACACTCCAGTCACAGTCTTAAGAACCGTGAGTAGATATTCGGTTATTGTTGAGACAGTTTGTCTGACAGCCTACACAGTACGATTTGCCTTGAAGGACTTAGAAAAAGACTATGAGAAGACCGAAGACGACATCAAGGCAGTACAATCCGTTGGACAAATTATTGGAGAAGTTATGAAGCAACTAGACGACGACCGATGTGAGTCGACCTCTGCATGTGCACCAAGTGCCTCTGATTGAGCATTTAGCGCAGTTATTGTGAAAGCATCCTCGGGACCACGATATGTTGTCTCGTACAGACCAGCCCTCCCAGTTGCCAAACTCAAGACAGGTACCCGAGTCAGTCTCGATATGACAACTCTTACAATTATGCGAATACTACCACGAGAAGTGGATCCTATGGTGTATAAGATGAGTTTGGAAGATCCAGGAGGTGCTTCGTTTGCAGGCATTGGTGGTTTAGGGGAACAAGTCCGAGAGCTTCGAGAGGTAAGATGGCCGTTTACGCCTAATGACTCCCTCCTTACACACCCATCAGGTCATTGAGCTTCCATTACTGAATCCTGAGCTCTTCCAACGTGTCGGGATAAAACCTCCCAAAGGTGTCCTCCTTTACGGTCCCCCGGGTACTGGCAAAACATTATTAGCTCGAGCGGTGGCTGCCACACTCAATACAAATTTCCTGAAGGTCGTTTCTTCCGCTATCGTCGACAAGTACATCGGCGAATCGGCACGAGTGGTACGGGAGATGTTTGGGTATGCACGAGAGCATGAACCTTGTGTCATTTTCATGGATGAAATCGACGCCATCGGCGGTCGACGTTTCTCAGAAGGTACCAGTGCAGATCGTGAGATCCAAAGAACTCTAATGGAGGTGAGGCGGTTATGTTATTTTGTGGCGGGTGCATGTCTCTTGACCTTGGTTCCTTGAATGTAGCTTTTGAACCAAATGGATGGTTTCGACTCGCTTGGTCGGACGAAACTTATTATGGCCACCAACAGACCGGATACTCTGGACCCAGCGCTTCTCCGACCTGGAAGGCTGGATCGAAAGATTGAGATTCCGTTACCAAATGAGCAGGCCAGACTGGAGATTTTGAAAATCCATGCTGCGCCTGTGAACAAGGGCGGGGAGATTGATTATGAGGCGATCGTCAAGGTTTGTAGCACGTTGTTGAGCAATGATTCTATAATGCCCTTATGATACTTATGGAAATTCCTTTGTATCTAGCTTTCCGATGGCTTCAATGGTGCCGACCTTCGAAATGTTATCACTGAGGCGGGCATGTTCGCCATCCGGGATGATCGGTAAGGTTCCATAAAAGTGTTCTACCGATAGCTAAACTTATTACAATGCTTGTTTCCTTTTCCAGCGAGTATGTCAACCAAGAAGATTTGACCAAGGCGGCACGTAAAGTTGGGGAAGCTAAGAAGCACGAGAGTAAGCCTGGCTCATTTCCTACAGTTTTCCAACACGCGACCTGACATCATCCTTATTTTCACATAGGCAAATTGGAGTACTCAGCATAGTGTTAATGTTGACATTCTCTATTCCTTCCGGCATTCTATCTGTACCTATACAGTTTCTTTTTTCATCACATGACACATTCTTGGAATACTCGGCACCTTCGACCTCGCGGAATCGACTGCTTGATGAGGCAGGTCTTGTAAATGCCAAGGTTTGCCGCCTTTACATATGAGGCCGAACTAAATGGAACATTGAGAGGTCTGGGACATTTGAGGTCGGCTTTCTAAACAAATCCTGATCTGCTCCTGCTCCGAGGGAATGGGATTTCTAAAGGCTCGGAACATGTCCTGAAGAACTGGAAGGTGAGTGTATGCATATGGCTGACTTCGTTCGCCCGTCGCTTGCGTTCTCAGATATCTTATTCCGAAACCAAATACTCTCCCCGAATAGGTGCGCTCTCGACTTCCTTTACACTTAAGCTACCGAGTGGGGTTTCCTATTGCCGTGTGGCTCTGTCTCCGCTCAATGATCATCTTTAGTTCTGGGCGAAGTGGAGCGGATCGTGTACCCATGATAGAACATTACTCACCTTCTAAGTGTACATCTTTTCCTTCTTTAGATCGATGCAGCTCTAACTCCTAACGGCTGCGTTTTTGATCCTGGCCCGCAATTTCTGGTGTTGGAACAATGGTCGAAAACTTTACCTCTCACACCTCTCATTCCGTAGTTCCTGGCCTGAGTACTACACGCGGATCCTTCAACGTCCGAATGGGCCGAGACGTGGGTCGGGGGCAGGTGGTACCGTGTAGAAGGAGGATCGTGAAACGAGATGCATGGAGACTTCGAAGGGATCTGGCTTCCTAGCGGGTAATGACCATCCGGGGAGGTATCAATTATAATGAATTTGTCCTGACAAACAGTTACCAGCAAAGAGGTATAAAAGTTGATCGTCTTGACGGAGAGAACAGCAAGAGGACACCGTCCCCCTCCCTCACTCAAGATGTTCCCTCGCTCTACGTTTCTCATCGTCTCAGCAGCCATTGCATTAGTCCGTTGTCAGGGCATCAACGATCCCCAGCCAGTCAACCCTAGTTGGCCTCATGATTACCCTGGAAAGCCGGACGGCGACTTCAGTCCCGATTGGCAGGAATGTATGAACATCTATACACTTACTCATCTTTTGAGAATATTAAGGGCTGACACCTTGTGGCTTACACACACATAGACTTCCGAGTGAAGGATCCGTTACCTGACATTACGTTCCCCGTTGCTCGCAGTTTCGCTGGTAACGTTGGAGTTAATCGTCAAGGACACCCTAACAACACCCTTTTCTTCTGGGCGTTTGAGAAAGAAAACGGGACGTTGACAAACCCTGAGAATATCGCTGCGCCCTGGGGAATATGGCTCAACGGAGGGTAATAAAATTTTCTTTTCTGATGTTATTCGCAGCAGAGCATTTCTCAAGAGGGTTTTCACAGGCCGGGTTCGTCCAGTATGCTCGGACTTCTATTCGAGGTTAGTCCGTTCCCTTTTTCGGCTATGTACATCAACTCGCTGGTTCTAAATATTGATCGCTATTGGATGGCACATTTCAGAACGGTCCTATCCATATCAACGGGGACTACTCGGTTTCAGGCAACCAATTCAGTTGGAATACCCTTGCGGATTACTTCTGGTTAGATCAGCCTGTGTACGTGCTTTCCCTCGCTCTGTTCCTTGTGGGATTTTCCCTGACGGCTCCATTTAGCGGAACCGGCTGGTCTACTGTAGAAGCCGACGGCCTGGGTAAGACTTCTGTCGCGTCTGTTTCGGGCATTTAACTAAACCCAGCTTGTTCCAGCCCGAGATGAAGACGAACTCGGCAGAGACTTTGTAGGTGTTACAAATATGGGTGATTGTGTGTGGCTGTTGTTGACTCATGTTCTTTCGCTTCTGCTGCACTAGTGGGGATTTGTAGAGAATATTGTGAAGGTCTTCCCCAATTTGAAATCGAGGCCTCTGTATTTGACTGGAGAAAGTTACGCGGGAGTATATATTGTATGTTATTTTCCGGCTACGTCTTTTAGGATCTCCATTCTGATGTTACGTTTATAGCCTTACATCACCAAGACCTATTTTGGACTCGACAACCCTCCTGTTCGTCTGGCTAAGATAGCCATTGGAGATGGATCCTTGGGCAGTGACCGTACTAACACACATTTGCCAACGGTAAGATATGGTTTTAGCATGACTGATCCCTTATGTCTGACATTGTGTCTCAGCTTTCGGTAATACGAACTTACCCTCAGCTGATTTCATACGACCCGGAGGTCTATGCATATTTCAAAGAACAGTACGCCACAACTCATCATTGTTCACATCTGTTGATGATCCGCTAACTGACTTCCTAGGTCGGACCTTTGTGGGTACAACATAACACTGACATATCCCCAAAACGGCCATTTCCCGACCCTTGATGGGCCCATCTCCGACTTGTTCTCAAGTCTCTCCCTCCGCTTGAAGGCTACAGCACGACGTGTCATTTTTTCCAAGCGGGAGATGGCAAGTGAGGTTCAAAAACGTGCTCTCGAACATCCAGGCGGTTTGCAAAAGAGAGAAGCGTCACGTCAACAGTGGAAGAGGGATCTCAGCGACAGAGCTAACGGTACCATCGACCCGTATTACCAGTGTGCCATCTACGACGAGATGGTTGATTATGCTCTGAATTTCTCATTACCGTGGAGTGAGTTCTTTCTAGTTTCCCATCGGTTCGTCTTTCTGATGAGCTATAGACTTGAGCGACCATACCAATGGACCTGACTACAATGCATTCGATGTAAGCTCTGCTTGGCATTAATATCTCCTTTTACATTATTGATACGCATCACACAGGTGTACAACATCCCTGATGCGTCAGTCTCGTATCCCACAGGACAATCTCTTTGTTACTAATTTTTCTTACCGCTTAGACTTGATCCAGAATCGCCGCTTGATGCTGCTCCATTCCTCAACAGTTCGTACCTTGTTCCGACTACATAATTTCGATATGGCTCATACTCTTTCAGATGATCAAACTCGTGCGGCGATTCATGCCCCCACCGTCAAAAACTGGGTACCAACCGTCAGGACTCCATTCGGTGAGAACGCCATCCGCTTCGGTGTCTATTCAACCTTTTCTTACGTCGTCTGCCGCAGGCACCAATGATGGAACCGATCCCAGTAAGTTTTCTCGGTACCTTTCAAATTTGTTTCCGTCAATCAACTATTTTGTGCTGTTCCTTAGGCGTTGAGTAAGTCTTCCGGTCGCCTCGAGGTCGTCAGAGTTAAA